CCTCCTCCTCTTCCTCCTCCTCCTCCTCCTCCTCCTTCTTCCTCCTTCTTCCTTTTCTTCCTCTTCTTCCTCTTCTTCTTCTTCTATATCATAGTTTCAGATGCCCCTGACTGGCCTTCTACTTTGCCTGGGAAAGCCAAGGCTTTGCTAAACCAATCCAAGGTTCTCCTTCTGACAGCCCCACCCCACTTTCCATGGGAAGTGCTTTTTCCTGTCTGACTCTGATCCCAGCCTCCTCTCTGTGACTACCACCTACTACATGGAAGAATGAGTTCTTGCCCAAGGCAGACATGGTGAGTGGGAGTCCATGGTGTCTTCTGATGGACCACCAAACCAACAGTGCTGTCCCCTACTCACCCTGCTCTCTGGAGATCTCAGGCTTGTACCAATACTTGGAAGTGTCCTGGACAAACTTTACTTTAGCCCGTGTCTCGGGACTGTTGTCTAAAGGAGGAGACGAAGAGAAGGTGTTAGAGCTGAATTGCATGCTCCCCAAAAGATGTCAATACCCTAATATCCCACACCTACAAATGTGGCCTGATTGAAAAGAAGGTCCTTGTGGATGTAATCAAACTTAGACAAAGGCATGCCAGACTGGGGTGAGACCTAATCCAATATGATGAGTGCCTTTCAAAGTACGGATGAGACAGCAGACACATTGGGGACCATACCAGGTGCATATGGAAACATCTGTAAGTCAAAAGACACAGAACTACATCATCAGAAGTGTCCGTCAGAGTCTCTGCCAACATCTGAATTCTGATGGATATGCCTTTGCTAAGACAGAATCTACTTCTATTATTCTAAAAAGTGTGTGTCAGTCCCAGGAAATAAACCAGAAAGCTAGATCCTCAAACATCAGAAAACGTGGTGAGGGGTACCCAGTAGCCTTCTCCCCCGGCCTTCCTCCTGCCAGCCACCACTGTTGCATGGCCATTCTGTGGTTAATATACCTGGCAAGGCATCCACTGAGCTGGTGAAAACCCTTCCCCACCCCATTCCCTGTGCCTAGAAGATTCTGAGTTAATTCTTTCCCACTCCCCCCCACCCCCACCACAAGTTGACACCTCCCTTCTCTTTGCACTCTGTCTTCCCAAGCTCAGCCTAATATCCATGAGCAGGGGACAAGAAGACCTAGGTCTCTCTCCTGTGGCCCATCCCATCGATCCCCACACTGAAAGTGGCATTCTACATCAGTACAGTCAAAAGTCACTCCCGTCCTCCAACAGCTAGACCAGGGAATGGCCGTTACTCTGGTGGCCATCTACAGAGTGTCAAACATAGCCAGATGACATCCCTAGTCAGTCGCTCTGTAGACCAGAGCCTCTTTCTGAGAACATGACATTGTAGAGGGGGACTGGACAAGATTGCATCCAACTGTGGTTTATTTCCCTGGAACTTGCCATGCCCCTGCCTCCTCCTCCTCCCAATGCAGGGACTACAGGTGAGTGTTACTGTGCTTGGCTCCTCCTATCTTTATGCTCTGAATCTCTAAGGTCCTCAACCTTGGTTCTTCATAAAGCACCTACCAGATTATTTTGAATTGCAATCACTGAATCATGCAGTGGAGTTTTTAGAACTTAGCCTTGCTTTCTACCGACATTGCAAAGGGGAGGGGGCAGGGAGAAGAGGGGGCAGGGATCCTCTTTCACAGTTCCCCAGTCCTTTGTGAAAGACTGAAGCAGGGATACAGTGTTGAAGATGCTACCAAGTAAGGAGAGAAGGACCCTGCAGCTGCAGCTGAGGGCCTTGGTTCTCATGGGCACTTGGACTCTGTCTCCAGCCGCCTGAGGGGATTCAGCCCCTTTCCCAGGCCAGGCAGCTAGAGAAGGCATCTGTTGCAGGCGCCTGGCCCCCCTCTGAAGCCCAGCCATGGCTGATCTAAGGAGCTGTTAGAAGCGGCTGCAGCCCTGTGTGCCTTCCTGTGTTGACTCCAAAGGCTATTTTAAGTAGGCAAGATGGTGGGAAACAGGAAATATCCTAACTACTAGAAACTTCGCATCCTTCAAGGATTGGGGTTGGGAACCAGATGTCCCTAGTAGGCGGCAGGAAGCAGGGGAGTACAGGGTCACTCTAAGTGCCTCGACTTGGAAGGACCTGGGAAGGACACAGGACACAGAGAGTCTGGGTGCCTCAGGGACACCCCAAGCTGTTTATAATTTTCTGTATCTGCCTTGGACACAAGTAGCCTCAGGACCTCTGCACACAGGATCAAGCTCTGGTTGAGAAGGTGCGGATCACCTGAAGCCTTGAACTTAATGTTTGGAGGATACACTGTCTCCATGGTCACAAAGACACCAAGACTAGACTTTGGTGAAGAATTCACCCTGCAGGAAGCAGGTCTATTCAAACTAGGCTCTACTAAAACACCTCACCCCTGCCAGGCAGCGGTGGTGCACACCTTTAATCCCAGGACTCGGGAGGCAGAGCCAGGCAGATCTCTGTGAGTTCGAGGCCAGCCTGGTCTACAGAGCGAGATCCAGGACAGGCAGCAAAACTACACAGAGAAACCCTGTCTCGAAAAACAAACAAACAAAAAACAAACAAACAAAACAAATATCTCCCCCCTAGCCTTTATCCTGCCAAACCTGCCCAGGGGGCCCACTGTCGAATGAGGTGTGGGGCTGACAAAAGTCATAGAGGTCCAGGACAGCAGAGTCTCAAAGTTCAGTTAAGTCACGGTATCCCTCAGATAATGAATACATGCTGAAGACATTCCGATCATGTGCATGTGCGTGTGCGTGTGCGTGTGCGTGTGTGTGTGTGTGTGTGTGTGTGTGTGCACATGCCACAACCTGCATGTGGAGGTCAGAGGACAACCTTGGGTATCAATCAGACCTTGCCTTCCACCTTGTTTGAGGCAGGGCCTCTGGTTTATTGTTGCATAGGCCAGGCTAGCCAGCCTGCAAGCTTTTGGGTACTCTCCTGCCTCCACCTCCCATCCCACTACGGGAGTATCAGGGTTATAAGCATGCACGACAGCATTCAGTTTTAAACGGGTTCTCGGGATCCAAACTCAGGTCCTCGTGTCTGGACAGCGAGTGCTTTGCCCACTGTGCCACCTCCCCGGCCCCGAGGGCACTCCTCTGGGGGCAGGATGGGCCTGGATTGAAAGTCGGCTCTGTCACCAAGTCACCACATAATGCCAGCCAAGCAACAGAAAACTCTGTGAGCCTGAGAGGGTTCCTATATAAAGCAAAGTTAATATTTGCTTCCCCAGGGGGGCTGGAGGACTAAACGAGTGAGTACTGAGCTCAGGCTACCCCACAGCGCGTGCACCACAGGAGGCGATGGCAGCGATGGCCATCTGAACAGAATACCGTTCACGCTCGTTACTCCATCCTCCTGTTCTTGCATACCTTCGTCAACCTTCAGCAACCCCATCCCAGCCATGCTTTAAAGACACAACGCCTGCTACGGGCAAGGAACTCAGGCCTAGAAGTCAGGGACCCACCCAAGGTCATCTGCCAAAGGGATGGCTAGGGCAGATGTCCTAACTCTTGGGCGGGCAGAAACTTAAGAGAAGAGACGCACCTGGCATCGAGTACTTGGAAAAGTCTGGAAGCGTGTGGGAGAAGGAGACTGTGCTGCTCCCGCTGTGGCTGGACATCCCATTGGCAATGGGTGAGGAGGACACTTTCCCGTTGATGGTGGCGTAGTTGGGGAGGCTGCCGGCCCGGTCTCCCACGGACATTCTCCGCTTCTCCGGCAAGGCTGGTGTGGGGCTCCCTTGCCGGAAGGCTGCCGAGTCTGGCGAGGGCGAGGTGGCAGGGCTGCTCAGGCCAGGGTAGTAGGCAGGGGAGACCGGGAATGAAGGTGTGGAAGGAGCCTGGTACCCAGAGGCACTGCTTTGCCGAGACAGCGTTGGCCGTCGGTCCTCGGGGGTAGAGTAGCCACCGTAAGCCGCGTGCCGGTCCAAGCTGGGGCTTCCGGGAACCACAGATCCAGATCCACCCAGGTGCCGGCCCAAGCTGGGACTCCCAGGGCTCATGACTGCATTGCCATGGAGACTGGAGGCCAGATTCGCTTGGTGGGCCCCAGGGTGTCGACCCAAGCTTGGGCTTCCTGGAGTTGTGGCCACGCTGCTGTGGAGGCCTGGAACCTGGTGGCTTCCCACTGGGTGCCGGCCCAAGCTGGGGCTTCCAGGTGTGGTGGCTGCACTGCTTGGGTGGCCAGAAACCACGTTACCATGGAAACCAGGGCCAGACGGGCCCATCACCTGCCGGTGGCTCAGACTGGGACTGCCAGGGGCAGCCATGGTGGGGTTGATAGCCCGCCGACCAAAGCCAGGACTAGGTGGAGTGTTGGTGCCCACTGTCCTGTGTCGTGCCTGAGGGCTCCCAGGCACCATGTGGACGGTGGCCGCACTGAACTGTGGCTGGGCTGGGCTTTCTGGAGAAGAGCTGAAGGGCTGAAGGGAATAGTCAGGGCTGCTGTAGCTGCTGCCCCCAGCCGGGACCGGTGAGGAGCTCCGGTAACTCAATGCTGCAGGACTCGGCTGCCCCAGGCTGCCTGAGCGGATGCTGGAGTCCAGCATGGGCTGGATGGGTGTCCGGGGGCCCTGGTCACTGCTCCCCCCTGATGGGAAACTGCCCACGGAAGTGCTAGAGAGAAACAGGCAGGTAGAAAGGTCAGTGGATGAGATTTAACAAAGAGAGGGCTTTTGCTGAGTGGCCAGGATCCTTCGACCACTAAGAGCATAAGAGCTCCACTCAGGGCGGAGGAAGTCGGGGCTTTTATCCATTACATAATGGAGCCATCAGAAGAAGAAGCTGAGGGTCAGAGAGTTTAAACAGTAAGCTCAGGACCACAGAGGTCCAAAAGGCCAGGCTCCAACTCAGCTGCATCCGACTCCAAAACCCACACTTTCTTTATCACGCCATGCTGACTCCTTGACCCATCAGTCATAGCAAAGCAATCACCAGGGAAGGCAGAAGTCTCGGTGTGAGCCCTCAGCACCACAGAAACTCAGAGAGATAGCCAAGCCACTCTGGCTCTATTCCTACCAGGCCTCAACTTGACTCAGTTTCCCTAGGTGTTTTATCATCCCCTCAGAGTGCTAAAATTGGGCTTTCACTCCTAGGTCATTCCAAAAAAGCAATGAAATAGAATCACATCCAGGGGTCACCACAAATCAGGAGATCTCAGCTCATTTGGAGGTCTGCCTTCAGCACCCCGAATCTGGTCACTCATGGCACAAACTACCTGTGCATGGTCATGAGGTTCCCATGATGTAATCACAGGCTATAGACCCAAAGCTCTGCCCATGTTTGATATGATGGGAAAGAGCAAGGTTGCCAGGGACCGGGGTAAGCAGTAGAGAGAGGTGGCAGGCAGCTGGTGCCTAGCAGTAGCCAGGGCAGGAAAGATCCTTACAGAGATCGGGGCCCCAGGTACAGGAGACCGGGCTCCAGGACCAGCAAGAGGCGGGGCAGGAAGAAGGCCAGGGTGAACACTAGGGAATAAACTAGACTATGATGAAGTGGAACCAGAGCAGCCCACATCGTGCTGAGCAGAGGTGAAGGGTGGTGATGAGTGTGAGGGTCCTATGGTGGAGTTCTGGGGTTCCAGAAGTGATTTTTCCGGAACCCTGGAAAGAGCCAGGTGAGTGCAGAGGCAGTCTGAGAACAAAGCCAGGGCAAATGAGAAAACTGGACCCCTGCCACCACGCCACCCCTGGAAACAGGCACCCGCGAAAGGGCTAGGGAGGAAGGGCGGGCTGGGTGTGTGTAGGGGCGTGTGCCTAGCTGGAGGGTTCGGAACGAGGATCCGGGGAGAACATCTCTGCTCATCTCTCGCCAGCCTGGGCAGGGCCAGAGTGGGTGTGAGCAGCAAACTGATCCTGGTGAAGGAAGGAAGCTGGGAGTCTGGAACCATGGCAATCCCAGCACAGAGGGAAGTGAGTTCCAGAAGAGAAAGGGGGCATGGCCTCCCCTCCTGGGGAGAGATCCTGCTTATGTATGCCAGCTGTGTGTCCCCACCCCCTGTCCCGTGCCTGGCACTCTGTCTCTAGGCCTTGCCCAATCCCACCTCAACCTCTGTCCCCACGTTGTGTTTCCATCCATAACGAGTCTCATTCTCAACACCCACCTCGCTGCTCCCTAGGGTACTCCAAGTATGAACTCTACTGAAGGGTTGGCCTTCTCCTACCCAGCCCTGGGATTCCCTCCCGGTCTGGCTCACCCAGATGGCTACGGGTAGTGTCTATCCACCAAGATGCCCCTCCCTGGTGGGCTGCATACTCTGAGTCGCCCTTGCGTCTACATCACGCACCCTAGTTCTCTGTCCCTCTGACCTACATCTTCGCCCCAAGATATCCTGTCATCCTTCTGGGTTCCTGCTATCCTTCCTTCAACGTCCTCTCCACCTCCCTGGCTAGAAGTCACCGCCCCGGCAACTTTGTGCCCCAAGCGCTCTATTTCTGGTCCAGTGCAGGGCACAGGTGGCTCTTGTCTATCCAGATCACTCGGGTCCGAGGAACGGAGAGAGAAAGACGTGACCTCCCGACACGTACACTCATAGGTTGAAGCCTGCTTCTGCTACCGCTCAGCTACTACTGCCCATTTGGCCTCTTCTGAGAAATGGGGACGGCAAAGCTTAGCTCTTGGTGCAGCAGAAAGTGGACAGAAGGCAGAAGCTTCGAGGAAATGGGCCTGCCCGAGCTTCCTGTTCACTGGGTTACCACTGGGAGGTTAACTACAGGAAGGACTGCTCACTGGTCCCTTTCGCTCAGGTGGAATGGAGCACAGTCTGAGAGCCTTGCTCATCACCCCGGCTCCCTTAAGTTGGATGCCCAGAAACTTGCTCTCCCTAGGTCTTGAGAAAGTATCTTCAAAGTGTAGCAATATGGAAGCGATTTCTCTACACAGCTCCTCTGAGGCCTCAGTCTCGGGCCCAGATTCTCATTCCCCATTCCCAGCTTACCTGTCAGCGCTGAGGATGGGACTGCTCGTGGAAAGGGGGCTGGGGGAGACAAAGGAGCCACCCGGGGTCCCGTTCCTCAGGGGTGTCTCATGTCCATAGGCATGGGCGGCTGGGGCACTGAGGCTCTTGGGCTCGACATCCTGAGTCCGAGGCCCTGACACTGCTGTCCTCGCCACAGACTCCACATAGCTCCGGGGCTCTGGAAGAAGTAAAGGGATGAAGAATGAACACAGGTGTGGTGGGAATTCACCCACCCTGCCAGGGAATACAGCACCCCCAGGGTCCAGCCTGGGAAAGGGGCAGCATGAAAACCCTCCACAAGAGCCCAGGCATGCTTTCCTGAGGCTCCTGTTTCCCCAGCCTGAGACAAGCTATAAGGAGCCCTGGCTTTTAGAAGCCTTTGCTTCTGCAAGCTCTGCCTCTGTAAAAGGCCACCAGCATCTTCCCCTAAAGACTTGGATGTCTGTCCATGGCTGGCACCCCCTTGCAGCCTTATTTCTGCCCAGCCCTACCAGGGTTCCCCAGATGCCTGGGTTCCTAAAGCAGTCCCAAAGCGATCATGTGACTCTGACCATATCTCGGGATAGCACCCAGCTCCCTCGTCAAGCAATACCCAGTGCCAGCCACTGCAGACTCACCAGCCCCTTCCTGGCAAGACACCCCACCTACTTCTGCATAACACACTCAGCATTCCTGAGAAGACTGATGCCGAGAACCCTGTGCCTGGGTGGAGCCAGACATTCTGTGCCCACTACGGTACAACCGGCATGCCAGGCCCTGTACAGAGAGGTTTCATACACAATATCCCCAACCTAGTGTTCAGAGTAACATTAGCAACAGAAAGGCCATTTGACAGATGAGAAGCCTGAGGCCCGAAGAGTAAAATGACCGGGCATGTTGGACCCAGGCCCCCCCATGACCTCAGAGACTAGCCCTATACTAACTAGAACAAGGATGAGGTTGGGACACAGTCATATGGAGGGGGTGTATGTCATTGCCAACACCTAGGAACCTGTCTCCATCTTTGTTGCTGCCCAGAGGGACAAGATCTGAGCATAGATCCCTAGCTGCCACAACCAGAAAATTCACCAAAGCCAACCTGGGAAATGATGCCCGCCCTTGAGGGATAGGACTATGGTGGCCTGAATAGGAAGAGAACCCCTCCCCAGATTCATCGGGAGAAGTGGCTAAAAGAACTAAATCGAAAGCTTGTTTCCTTAACTGGAGGAAAACCTGGCTCGGAAGGAGGGAGTTACCTGGCATGTCCAAGGAGCATACTCCATAGGAGGCCCCCCAAATCCACACCCAGTGCCTGGTCTATAAGAGCAGCCGCTCCGACATGTCGGGCTGGGCTCGGCTTGTGGAGAGAGCTAGCAAAGCCTCCCTCAAGCTGCTTGGGCCACACTCAAATTCACAGGATTCCCAGGCCAGCCTGACAGAAGGTTTGGACTCTGGCCTCCCCGGGCTCTGTGGTCCTATGACGCAGGACTGGTCAGATTCTCTGTAAATAACTTAGGTGGGATGGTCGGATGGACTCTGTCGCAACCGCTCAGCCCAGTCGTCACGGGGTGACAGAGGCTGCGAGCAGGACCTAAACGAACAGGCCCAGCTGTTTTCAACAGCATTTTCTCTAGGAAAATAGGTAGTAGGTGGATCTGTCAGCAGTCAGCGTGTGCTGACTCCCATCTAACCTGTCCCCTCCGCCCAGAGAAGGGGAGCAATTTCCCCAGGACGCAAAGGCAGCCAATGGCTGTGGACAGCACCATGTCTCCAATCTCACAGTATAGGTTCTGGCTGGCCTCAGGGGACCCACAGTCTCATGGGGACACCAGCAAATGAGCTGGAGGAATGAATGCCAGGTCCACCTAGTCATCCATAGAGGCAAAATCAGCCAAGAGTTGTGTGAGGTTAGTAAGATTTGGAGAGTTGAACTACCCAGCCAGTATGGGGCAGAGGTGTCATGGATATCCAGGCAGACTGTCTTCCAGCCAACCATTACTCACGGGTCATAAGACCATCCAAAGTTGGGAAGCCAGTGGCCTGTCCCTCACCACCCCTGCCACTCCCTCTGAACATTCCTCAGGCCTGTCTAGGTGCTCAGCACAGCTCTACATGTTTCCCCGTAACACACGGCAACCCCCTCTCACCCAGAGAGCCCTGCCACCCACAAGCTTCACCTGCCTGACAAAGGTTCCTGGCACTAGCCACAGCGCCTGGCACAGAGGACTGTGTGTGTGTGTGTGTTTGTCTCACAAACTCAGAGCCACATGACCCTCCCTCCCAGCCCCATCCAGATGTCACCTTGTGTAAGAAGTCAGAACCAACACATGCACTCTGCTGTCTTCACTCCAACTACCCCCAAGGCCCCTTGCCCTATGACTCCAGATGGCTTTGGCCTTTGGCTGGAGTGACTGGGTCTTTACTGGCAGGGGAGGGAGGGAGGGAGGGAGGGAGGGAGGGACAAGATGGGGTTATAGCTCCCATCCTCTATTTATCCCTAGCTGTACTGGCACCTTCTGAGTGGGCAGGGACAGCTCCCACCCCTGCCAGGGAGCCCACAGGGCTTCACACCCTCACTGGTTTGCCCCTGGTTTTCCAGCAATCGCTTCAGCTGCCCACTGGAATGAACCATGCGCTTCTTCTGCCGAGACCTCAACAGACACACTAGGTAAGCTCTATGCTAAATTCTCCTTCTAAAAAATCCATATTCTGCCAGCAGAAAGCTAAGAGGGGAAAGCCCACAGCCCAGCCGGAACAGAGCCACGCCCAGTCTACCTAGGGGGTGACTCTCCGTCGCAGCAGAGCGCCCGCTCCACTTCCCTGTTAACTTGGAATGAAAACAACTCACCTGCCCAGGATGGAGGCATGTGAGAAAGGACACGGCCTTTTAGTTCTTGGCAATTCTGGTTGGGTCCACATTGGCCTTTGACCTCACCCTCCCTCTACCCTTGTATACTCCCTTCCTGGGGTGGGGGTGGGGAGCATCACAACTCCTCCTCTTTTGGTCCCCTAGGGAGCAGCCGACCCACAGGCCACCAAGCCAGGGAGGGCGGGAGGAGCGGAGCCAGGGAGGGTACTGCATGGAGAACATTCCAGGAGCCCAAACCATTCCAAGTGGCTGCTGGCCGCCGAGAGTCACGGAACACAGAGAGACTCCTCAGCCGGGGGCCTACCAGCTCTTCACCCACATTCTCAAGTACTCTGCCTCACTGGAAAGAAGACACTCTGGCTGAAGGCAAGAGGCCAGCATGGCCCACCATAAGAAGATGAAGACATGCGGTGGGGAGAAGGCTTCTGTGGTGTAGCCACCTGCCTAACATGTGCAAAGCCCTGGGTTCAATCCAGCCCACAATACACACATGCATGCATATACATACATACATACATACATACATACATACATACATACATACATACATACATACAATACTAAAAACGTGGGTGGTAGAGGAAAAAAAAAGTAAGGAAACTCCTTGAGCCCCAGATCTAGAGCTAGCACTAGGATTGGGCCACATGTAGCCCCCTCCAAGCCCCCAAGCACCCTCCATACCTCCGCTCAGCTCTTCGTCACGTGAGATCTCTGCTCTCCCCAGGTACCTCACCCATCCTTAGTCCCTGGTGCATGGCGGGTGCTGGACAACTCTGTACCAGGTCACCTGTTCTGATGCCCCCGAAACACCATCACCAAGAATCCCAGAGGCATCAGAGTCCCCAGAGTCCAATGTCGTCCTTTATGCCAATCTGTCCTCATGGAAGCCCTGAGACAAACAGAAGCTGGCACGGAAAGCCATCCTAAAGTCCACCGTGGCAAGCTCCCCACCACCACCACCACCGCCGCCGCCGCCGCCCGGGAAAGGACTCTCTTCAGATGTTCAGGGTCCCCTTGTACTGTGTGTGCACACCAGAAGGGACAGTCCCCCACATGCTGAAACGACACAGATTCTCAACTCTGCCCCTGATCCCTATGAGCTTCCTAAGTCACCTAACCACCACCACCACCCCTTACTGGGAAAATGGAGTCCATACCACCATCCACTCAGCTCTTAGGATTAGTAAAAAAAAAAAATAATAATAATGCGACAGTGGCCCCCACATGGCCTGGCTCTTGCCTGTTTTAACTTACTCCAGACCACATGCACAGACACACGTGCACTGGCTCTGTGCGCATGTCTCACTGGTTTTTAAGTTTCTAGGGGGAAATAAATAAGCTGGGAACTGGAAGAGACTGGCTTAGGGGGTGACGTGCTTGCTACTCAAGAGTGAGAGCCTGAGTTTGGATCCCCACATGAAATCTGGGAGTAATGGCATGTGTCTGTAACCCCAGCACTGAGGGAGAAGGGGGATATGGACAGGAGGATCCCTGAAGCTTAACCAGCCAGCTTAACCAAAATGATGAGCTCCGTGTTCAGCAAGAGACCTTGTCCCCCAAAATAAGGTGGAGAGCAATAAAGGAAACCACCCCACATTAACCTCTGACCTTCACACACACACACACACACACACACACACACACACACACACACACACTACAACATCCGAGCCCAGACCCCATGTACGTCATCACCCTCTCGTCTCTGTTTTCTACCCAGGTTCCACTGGTTAATGTCACCTCACATGCATGTTCACCCCCACAGTTACTTCTTTATCCTAAGGTCTCACAAAGCTCTGTGCCCTCCCTCCCTCCCACCCGCTCCGTGCATAATTCTTACTCCTATTTATGAAAATGTTCGTGAGCTGAAGATACATATCTCATAAGCCTATTATCTCCCCAGAGAGGGCCTGCTGCCTGGTACGTAACAGGCCCACAGCATCATGACTGACTGACTCGAAGCGTCAATGAAGAAAAGAATGCACGAATACATTTAGTCCAGTGGCTCGAACAGTGCAAACATCCCTCAAATTCCTCCTTCCCCGGCTGAAGAACTCTGCCGCTGATCGTTTGCCCTCACAAGCCTCTTTTTTTCTGAATTTCCCATCAAAGTTAAGAACACCAAGCAAGGCTTCCAAGGGTCAACAAAGAATGTGGCCTGGGCTGACCCAGGAGGTGGCGCCTGAGTTAAGAAATGCTGAACCGGCACCCCAGCCTGAATGCCCTCACCGCCCACTCCCAAGCTGGAAGCCGGGGCCACCAAGCCAGGAAACAGGGAGGGGCTTAGACAGGGCCCTTTGACTAGGAAACAGGAGGCCCAGAAATGCAGTCTGGTCAGTCAGCCTCTTGGCTGTGATCCTGGGTGGGCCCCTCACCCCGACCATAACCCAGACCATAGTTACACAGCCCTGAGAGCAGAGGCGTGGCTGGGTGGATCTCAAGAAACTTTCCCTTTAGAATTCCTCGGCCCCGATACCAGGACAGAGGAAGCACAGGAGACTCAAGGCCTTGTAAGGTGAGGGTCATTTGTGAAGCACATTTAGGAGGCCTGACTTCAGCTCTGTCAATATCCATTCTTCTGACCGGTCACCCAGAAGCAGAACACAGCTCCCAGAGCCCGGATGCCTAGCCAGCGACTTTCTCCCTGGAGTCTGACAGCCCACTCACATTAGCCACCCACACTCAGGACCTGAGCCCTCTGTGCTGACAGGCACTGAGGCTGTGGGAAGCAATCTGGAGAAAGCTTGTCCCCTGCATGAGGTTGGCAGGGAGCAGTCTTGGCCCCCAACTTCCGGGATCTGCAGCCTCTACACAGGCTGGTTAGAAACCCACCAAAGGGGCTGGAGAGATAGCTCAGCACTGTAGCGCACTTGCTGCCCTTGCGGAGGACCTGGGTTCAATTCCCACCACACACATGGTAGTTCCCAACCAACAGGAACCCCAGATCCAGGGGATCCCACACCCTCTTCTGACCTCCACGAGCACCAGGCACACACGTGCACACACACACTGGGGAAAATATTCATACGCATAAAATAAATAAACCTAAAAATTAAAATAATTAACTAAAACCACAAAGAAATCAGTGCAGCTTCTGGGAGGCCATCACCACCACACCTGGAATGAAAAGTCAGCAGGGCCGTACCCATGCTGGGGCGGAAACCAAGGCTTTCGGCGCAGAGGAAAGTGGGCCTAAGAAATCAAACTAAGCCCCTATAAAAATAGCCACACAGAACCATGGGCCCAAGTGGGCCCCACTGGAGGGGACCTTGGGACTCACCTGTCTAACATCTCCTGTGGAGATGAGGACACCCATCCCCAGAGACACATGGGAGCCACTCAGGCCAGCATCCCTTACTCCATGACCACCATGAGTCTTGATTGAACTGCTGGCCTCCTGAGCTAACCTTCTTCTGCCAGATCAGCCCCTCTTCTTGTCCAGACACGATGCCAGGCTTCCTCCAAACCCAGGGCTAGGCTGGCCTCAAAGCTGAGACCAATTGTGAACTCCTTGAAAGTATTTCTCAAGGGGCCAGTGAGATGGATCAGTGGGTAAAGGTGCTTGCCACCAAGCCTGACACCCTGAGTTCCTAAGTTCGATCCCTCACTCAGGCATGGTAGAAGGAGAAAACTGATTCCCCTGACCCCTGCCCATATACCATGGCATGCGTGTGCATGCACACCCCCACACAAATTAATGTAACAAATATTTATAAATAAAATTATCTTTTGGAAGGGGAAGCAAGTACTTCTCAGAATGCTGCATGGGTGTCCTGAGGCACTTTTGTGGGAGTGAGGCCATGGCCAGCCCTACAATTGCCACCGTGCCTTTATGCTGACAGGAAACAAGCCATGGCTCTATGGCTGCGGCTCTAAGTAGTGACAGTGTCCCATTAGGGTTGAGCCTGAAAAGCCCCTCAGAGGCTCATGTTTGGACACCCCGTGCCCAGCTGACAGCACTACTTTGGGAGGCTGTGGAACCAGTAGGATGTGGAGAAGGAAGCCATCAAAGGGTGCCCTTTGAAGGGACTGCCCAGCCGACTCCCATCTCTTTCTCTGCTTCCTAGTCTTCAGTGATGTGGACGGCCTGCCTCACACACTCCCGCTGCCATGGGTAAGCTGCCCCACCACGCCATTCCTGTCAGAAGAGACCGAAACCTCCTCAGCCATGCACCCAAATGTTCCTCCAAGTGCTGTCTGTCGGGTCCCCTTGCCAGGTTGCTAGTCATGGAGATACAAAAGCAGCCAGCTCATACAGAAAGCCGACACTGGTTCTATTGAAGGCATCGTTACCGGGTGAGTGTCACCAGCACCCACCGCAAGAGGAAACCAGCTATACACCTTCAAAATATGGGGCAGCCTCCCAAAGGGCCTGCACAGGCTTAAATACCTGAGTGGCCAAGCAAGAGAAGTCCTGCTCTCTCTCTGCCCTCCCCGTCTGCCCCTGTGTCCACTGCCCACCAGTCAGGTGGTGCGTGCGCCTCTGGGAGGGGAAGTAGCACAGGGGGTATTTTTGTCAACAAGGTGGCACCATGCGGGCGCCTGGATACTCGCTGTGCCTGAACTGGTGCCCAGGGGCAGCAAGTTTCCCAAGCAGCATTCAGGCCGTGCCCAGAGTGGCATCTCATTTGTCAGAGGGTGGGGGACGGGAAGGCTGTGTGCCTAGTCACTTGAGAGCAGGTGAGAAAAGAGAGCCATCCCCAGCCAGCCTCGTCAAGCTCCATGTGGAAAGCCATCCCCAGACCCAGAGAGCGGGAGCCGCCACACAGAGCAAAGTGCACTTACCTTCTGGAGGCTTAGTCACCTGCTCCCCCTCATCTTCCTCTGAGGGAGGAGAAGAGAGACAAGAGGAGGAGAGGCAGGAAGGGAGGACAGATGATAGAGATGAGAGGAAGATCCCAGAGGAGAAAGAGAGAGAGAGAGAGAGGTTATCAGGATTACATCTAGAGAAAGAATCTGCTGAAGAAAGGAAAGTGGAGGTTTGAGCTTCTACTGTGCACAGGACCCTGGAGTCCAGGGCCATTGTGGAGCCCTTAGGAGCCAGGTCCCTCCCAGCCTCTGCAGCCAGAGCCTGCGTGGGTCAAGCATCGGGTAGTAGCATGCTGGCCAGTGAGAGAAGGCCTCTGGCCCTTCGTCTCCGTGATGGCTGGGTGTATCTGCCCATGCTCGTCCATCCTAAGTGGAGGCTGTGTCTCGGTGTCTGCACTGTTCACAAATGCATGTTGCTACCCTCTTACCTGGCGGGATCAGTCTTCTGGTGACTAAGGAAGAAAGGAGAAGTTGACCCCCGAGAGCTCCAACTCAGCTTTAAAACTAGAGTCCCTGTCTAGCTCGGCAGACTCCAAATTGCCATTCCAAGTCCCAGGACTCCTGTGTCCACACACACACACACACACACACACACACACACACACACACACATACACACACACACACACACACACACACACACAGACACACACAAAGAAAGAAACTAGGGAGTGGGCAGGAAATAGGAAGATGAATCTGGTAACCATCCACATCAGACAGCGACCTTCTCCCAAACATGGGCATCCACCTCACAGCCAGTACAGGTGACCCTGGCGTGGTGACAGCCCAGAAAGTCCCCAGAGCCCAGCTCTTATTCTCAGCAGCACGGTCAAAGGCTACCAACACTGGGCATGTGAACACTGGGATGGGCAGAGTCTGCTTTCGGGGTAGCAGGCACCTTTATGGGCAGAGGAGACCCAGGGCTGACGGGGAGAGGGCAGAGAGCGTGGCTGCTGGGAGTGACCCACTCACTTCTCAGGCAAAGCTTTGTGGGGGCAAAATATTGCCCAAATACCTAAGCTCTGATGTCACCAGATGTTCAGCATAGAGCCACTGGGCTGTGTTAGGGGTAAGGGGCTGTAAGCAAACACAGGCATGTTTCCCTGCTACACACCTATGTGTACACACGGACACACACACACACACACACACACACACACACACACACACACACGCACAAGAACTCAGCCAGGGGGTTAGGCTTCTAGCAGGGTTGACCAACTCCCAACCAAACTGGAAGCTGGCCTCAAAACCCTAAGGCCCAGAAAGTTGTGGCAGGCAGAAAGGACATCCCAATGCCTGGAGAGTGGCACCCCCAGGCGTGGCTTCAGTGTGGCACACAGTCATGGCCTCCTCGTTTCCAGGAAGGGCCCCCCCAAAACCTCTGCTCTGTGAGTACTCCTAGTTAGAACACCTGCTCAGGCGACCAGTTTCTCCTGGCCTCCCAAGCCATTTCCCCCCCACCCCCTGCTTGCTTCCAATCACTCACCACCAGTGGGGTGCAGCAGGATGTCTGCTGGGTTGTGGGGTTTCAGACCCAGAGCAGAGAGGGGTGTCTTGGCCAGGCCTGGAGGGGAGCGCACTGTGTGGGAAGAAGACGGAAAGACACAGGAAGTGAGGACATGTCACGGTAAGGGTGTGTACTAGTGGGGTCTGGGCACCCCAGAAACAGCCCTGAAGCCCCCTCCTTCCCCCGCTGAGCTGGCTTCCCTGTTCTTCCCTGTCTTTGTGTTGCTTCACGTTTCAGCTTGAAAGGGAGACAGTCAGGGACTGACACCCCTGTCCCGACCCTGCCCAGCCCCTGAGAGACATCTATGGCTCCTCCCTACCCTTTAACTTATGACTATGAAGGCTTATTAAATACAGCATGCGTCTTCAGCTGTCTTTGCCTTTCTATAGAATATTATCTCCCCACTTTCTCCTTCCCCACCATCTACTACCTCTCTCTCTCTCTCTCTCTCTCTCTCTCTCTCTCTCTCTCTCTCTCTCTCTC